TCATTTACTAGTTTGTCCTGGGTGGGAATTTTTTTTATACGAGACTATTCTTAGACTTAGAGCAGGGGTCGGGAACCTTTTTGTCTGAGAGAGCCATGGACACCACATATTTTGAAAAGCAATTCTGTGAGAGCCATACATTACGTTTAAAACTAAAAATTCAAATAAATGTGTGCATTTTGTGTAATTTCAATAAAATTTGATGCTAATCAATAATGAGTATTTCTTACCATTAATGCGACTTTTTTTTAATAATCAAACATTTGTCTGCGAGCCAGATGCAGCCATCAATAGAGCCACATCTGGCTCGCGAGCCATAGGTTCTCGACCACTGACTTAGAGGGACGAGTGGCGTTTAGTCGCACGAAATTGAGAATTTTTGGGGCTTTGGCCCAGAGGCCGCATTTCCCCGACACGGCCCAGGTAGGGAGTGCATGAAGCTGTTACACAGAAGAAGACAGCTGGAATATGAGGCCCAGGTAGGGAGTGCATGAAGCTGTTACACTGAAGAAGACAGCGGGAATATGAGGCCCAGGTAGGGAGTGCATGACGCTGTTACACTGAAGAAGACAGCGGGAATATGTGGCCCAGGTAGGGAGTGCATGAAGCTGTTACACAGAAGAAGACAGCGGGAATATGAGGCCCAGGTAGGGAGTGCATGAAGCTGTTACACAGAAGAAGACATAAACAAGTACATGGTAAGTATGGGTATATGGTATTTCATGGTATGTATAGTTGTATTGGTCATTTTCTGTATGAGGATATCACACACTTGTTAGAATAATACTAGTCAAGTGTACCGTACCGATTCAACATCAGCTTTCATGAACAAGTTAGGTTTTTAAAGGGCTGTAGAATGTATTGTGTTGAACTTAACAGTAGAAAGTAGGGCCGGATCAAGATGCTTAACACACATATGATGGACGTGCATGACCCTTAGATCAAATTAAGGACCATCTGCCACAAAGATGTCTACAGACAAAGAAAAGATTCATTGTAGTGTAGTGGCTTGGTTGTATACAATCAATGTCTACCAAGAGTGTTTTTATTGAAAATCTGATGCATTCATCGAGGTTCAATAATGTCTGCATCGGTTTATCCTATACATGTCTGCAATGGGTTATCCAATGTCTGCATCGGTTTATCTAATGTCTGCATCGGTTTATCCAATGTCTGCATCGGCGTATCTAATGTCTGCATTGGTTTATCTAACCTCTGTATTGGTTTATCCAATGTATTGGTTTATGCAATGTATTGGCTTATGCAATGTCTGCTTTGGTTTATACAATGTCTACATTGGTTTATCTAATGTCTGCATTGGTTTATCTAATGTCTACATTGGTTTATCTAATGTCTGCTTTAGTTTATCTAATGTCTGCATTGGTTTATACAATGTCTACATTGGTTTATCTAATGTCTGCATTGGTTTATACAATGTCTACATTGGTTTATACAATGTCTACATTGGTTTATACAATGTCTACATTGGTTTATACAATGTCTGCATTGGTTTATACAATGTCTACATTGGTTTATACAATGTCTACATTGGTTTATCTAATGTCTGCATTGGTTTATACAATGTCTACATTGGTTTATACAATGTCTGCATTGGTTTATCTAATGTCTGCATTGGTTTATCTAATGTCTGCTTTAGTTTATCTAATGTCTGCATTGGTTTATCTAATGTCTACATTGGTTTATACAATGTCTGCATTGGTTTATCTAATGTCTACATTGGTTTATACAATGTCTGCATTGGTTTATCTAATGTCTACATTGGTTTATACAATGTCTGCATTGGTTTATCTAATGTCTGCATTGGTTTATCTAATGTCTGCATTGGTTTATCTAATGTCTACATTGGTTTATCTAATGTCTGCATTGGTTTATCTAATGTCTGCATTGGTTTATACAATGTCTGCATTGGTTTATCTAATGTCTGCATTGGTTTATCTAATGTCTACATTGTTTTATCTAATGTCTGCATTGATTTATCTAATGTCTGCATCGGTTTATCTAATGTCTGCATTGGTTTATCTAATGTCTACATTGGTTTATACAATGTCTGCATTGGTTTATCTAATGTCTGCATTGGTTTATCTAATGTCTACATTGGTTTATACAATGTCTGCATTGGTTTATCTAATGTCTACATTGGTTTATACAATGTCTGCATTGGTTTATCTAATGTCTGCATTGGTTTATCTANCTGCATTGGTTTATGCAATGTATTGGTTTATGCAATGTCTGCATTGGTTTATGCAATGTATTGGTTTATGCAATGTCTGCATTGGTTTATGCAATGTATTGGTTTATGCAATGTCTGCATTGGTTTATGCAATGTATTGGTTTATGCAATGTCTGCATTGGTTTATGCAATGTATTGGTTTATGCAATGTCTGCATTGGTTTATGCAATGTATTGGTTTATGCAATGTCTGCATTGGTTTATGCAATGTATTGGTTTATGCAATGCCTGCATTGGTTTATGCAATGTATTGGTTTATGCAATGTCTGCATTGGTTTATGCAATGTATTGGTTTATGCAATGTCTGCATCGGTTTATCTAATGTCTGCTTTGGTTCAACTTATGTCTGAAAATAGGTTAATCTAATGTCTGCAATGGGTTATCTAATCTCTGCTTTGGTTTATATAAAATATGCACTGGTTTATTTATCTGTCTGCATCTGTTTATCCAATGTCTGCTATGGGTTATATAAAATCTGCAATGGCTTATCCAATAAATTTATTGGTTTATCTATCTGTATTGGTTTAGTTATCTGGTGTCTGCATAAGTTCATCGAATGTCTCAAATGAAATTATTATTTTTTTTTTTAATAAAAAAAAACAGTGCTGTATTCATTCTTTATATTTTTATTCCACAATGACACACATTAAAAAAAAACACAAAAAAACACTTAATTCAGCTGACTCAGCCAGGTATCCCATTGCTTAAAGTTTAAAGGCAAATAAAAGCAGCTGGCCTGAAAAAGAAAAAAGTCAACCCTGGAGATCGAAAGCTTAATGAATTTTTTTGTATCATTTTTGTTTCCAGCACAGATGTGTGCCCTAGGTGGTTACGACCCACCACTGAACTATATTCTTCTGGTGCAGGGTTTCCCAACCTGGAGTGTTGGCACCCAATGGAGGTTTCCAGGAAAGATGATAATTGGAGACATTGCTTTTAAGTAATGAAATGCGGCCTGCACGTTTCTAATTTTATTAAATTTCTTCATCAACGATGGACGTTATGAGTTACAGGTCACAAGTTTATTCAATAAGTTCTCAGTGAAAAAAATTAAAGAGTCCGTTATTTTTAAATTTTTAAATGCACTGTTGCTTTTGTAACGAGTGTGAAGCGAAGTAAAACAGTTGGCCGGGGGGCAAGACTGGCCAAATCTTTGGTAGAGGGAGTATGGAAAAGGTTAGGAAACACACTGCTGCAGTGTAGTTTGCTTGTGGCAACCTTTATTGAAATTCATAATATCACTCAGAAATCACCAGCTCTTTTGTTAGTTTCAAGTACAAGTCATTGGGTAAGCACAGATATTCACAAATAAGTCATTGTTGAGTGAGCACAGATATTCACAAACAAGTCATTATTGAGTGAGCACAGATATTCACAAACAAGTCATTATTGAGTGAGCACAGATATTCACAAACAAGTCATTGTTGAGTGAGCACAGATATTCACATACAAGTCATTGTTGAGTGAGCACATATATTCACAAACAAGTCATTATTGAGTGAGCACAGATATTCACATACAAGTCATTGTTGAGTGAGCACAGATATTCACATACAAGTCATTGTTGAGTGAGCACAGATATTCACATACAAGTCATTGTTGAGTGAGCACAGATATTCACATACAAGTGATTGTTCAGTGAGCACAGATATTCATATAAAAGTCATCGTTGGGCATATATTTATCTAACACTCAACCATCTCTTAAATAAAATATGTTATGGCAGGATGACGCAGGTATCTCAAAGACAAACTCAGGGATCTCATAAGCTACAACAGAGATCTGTTAGGCCAGTGGTCTGCAAACTGGGGTAAATTACTCAAAAGGGGCAAAAATAGAAATCATTGGGGTAATGAGGGCTCAATAGACATAAATACAATTATATTTAAAGCTTGTTTTTTAAGGAAAAAAAAATTCTGGCCAGTGTAGTAGTCAAATGCATCAAAAAAATTGTAGTTACTAGTGACATGGCAGCTAGCGTTCCCATCTCGCCTTGTATGCATCATTTTTGCCTTGTGGCCTATTTCATTTTTAACCTCAGTGGTGTCGCTAGAATTGGTTTCACCCAGTGCTGTTAACTCATGATGTCACCCCATACGGACTTCTCCCTGGGCCTCCTCCTGGTGACACCCTGCTCTTATGGCAACCTGCTCTGGCGGTACCATACTCTTGCATTAAACTTAGATATCTTAGAAAGACAATGTCATCGAGCTCACTAAATTTGCTAATCATCATTAGGTGTTATGTCCCTGTGTGGATGTTATGTCCCTGTGTGGGTGTTATGTCCCTGTGTGGGTGTTATGTCCCTGTGTGGGTGTTATGTCCCTGTGTGGGTGTTATGTCCCTGTGTGGGTGTTATGTAGGCCTACCTGTGTGGGTGTGGGTGTTATGTCCCTGTGTGGATGTTATGTCCCTGTGTGGGTGTTAACCTTGTTTAGGGTGTCTAAGCCTTTAGAGGATCTCCTAGTAGTGGTCTGCACCCCACATTCTTAGTGACGCTACTGCTTATGCTCAGAACGTCAAGAGATGCAAGGTTGTTCAAATTGCTCACTAGGAGGCAGACAAAAAGTGTGTTGCTTTTTACAAGCTAACTTTGCGAACAAAGATTTTTCACTCAAATGAAGGAAAAAACAAATCAATTATTTAATCCTAAAGACTAAAGACCATACCAAATTTCTGTGATTTAGAAAATTTACCAAATTTTGATGTCATTGTAGGTACATGTAATTATATATTATGTAAACTTAATTTATACTTATTTAAATGTTTCGTTTTTTGTACTGATGAAGGCATTTGCTGAAACGCTTACACTCGTATTTTGTAAAATCATCATTAAAACCGAACATTTATTATTTTATTTAGACTAATTGTTTGTGTTTAATTAATCTACTTTAAAGCTTTATGGAGTCCAACACTCTTATATATGTATGAAACATTTCTACAAAATAGGAGGTCAACATTTTTTAAAAGACATTTTTTTGTTCCATAATTAGGATTTTATTAACTTATTTTCTTGAACTGATATGAAATTTTATATTCTACATACAAATAAAATCAATAAACCATTTTAAATTTAAATAGTCTATGGTTTTCTTCCTTTCAAATCTGCTATACAAAATTTTTGGGGGGGCTATGGCTAAAAAAAATCACCTGACCCTTGTCATAGGCTAAAGAAGGCTTCTCCCAGGCTAAAGCAGGAATCTCACAGGCTAATCAGGGATCTCATAGCTAATGCTTAGTTATCACAGGATAAGACAAGCTCATCGCCAGTGTCCAGCTGGCAATGTAGCATGTGTCACAAACTGTAATAACAGAAACTGCTAATGAAAGGTGTGGAGTGGGTAAGTTATGGCCCTTGCCCCTTTCAAATTATTGTTAGGTGTCCCCGCCCCCAAGCCCCTCCACCCAGACCCGTAAAAACAGTTCAGCACAATGAGGTGAAATTAAAATGATGCATGTACATATCATCAGAGTAAAACAAGAGATTTGTTCATAAGACATTGGTGTCAGACAACACAGCAATAACATAACCAGCAAACTGTGCTCAACTAAACTATTCCTTAGCTTGTGCCTATCAACATGTCAATAAATACAATGGTCGACCCCCAGGTCATCACTAGATTCGGGTCAGGTGGAATCATGATGCCAGGTAGGAGTTGACATGTCCGATTCCATCACAAGTGAGAATACATTTGTTCTTGTCCAGCATTTCAACAGTAAATTCAGCCTGCAGATATGTAAGCAAATAGATTGCTATCTTGACATTCCTACTTCTGGTGATATTGTTAGCAACAGGTGACAAGCTTGTGAAAAATGTGTCACTGTATAATTCTAATTATCATGTTTTAGAACTTCATGACAACTGTCACTGCATATGTTGCACAACATGATATTAATAGTTTAAAGAAAGTGATTGATGAAAACTTGTTTCCTTACCTTTGTCATGAGCCTGGCTATGTGAATGGCAGTTTGTGAATGTAATGTAAGTGGACCACACAGAACTTTAGTTTGTCCTTGAGCTAACGTCATCAACAAAATAAGCTGAGGAAACAAAGAAACGTTCATGTATTTCTAGTCTTACAATGTAGGAAATCCTACAACTGATTCAATAAATAAGAAAATAAGGCAGCCTGTTCTAGGGCTGTGTTCTTCTTTAAATGGTTAACTACCATAAGTCACTGGTAACACCAATCTTTCCTTCTATCATGTCCATGAGCCGATTTTAGCATCATGGTTTGTTTCATAGTAAAATTAGTTATTTATTTATATTCTTTATTTCAATTTGGTTCGAGATTTTAATGTATTGACAGGAAGTTTTATTTTTAAAAATCAAATGGGAGTCAGAATGTAAATAGAATTTTATTTTGTTCATATTTATCTATTTTGAAGGTAGTTAGCAAGTATTTTTCATGGCAACTAGCGATAAGGTTACCAAAAGCAAACATACTGTAAATAATTTAGTGAAATGTTTATTCAATTGCTGATTTGTATAAATTTGGAAACCTTTTCTAATTTGGTGTATATAATTTGGTGTAATAATCTGTTAGAAGTGTAAATAAAATTAAATATTTTTTTTAAATTCCAAACATGAAGTTAATTCAGTGTGTATCTGTGAACTTAAATTGAAAATACAAGGCAAATATCTATTATTTTAAAATGGATTTTGAAAACAGCTTAGCATTGTATAAAGCATCTTAGGCAAAACAAGTTTGTTAAATCTCTCATTTAGACTCATTTTAGCAGTTTTCTATTCAGCTGTGACTGGAAGACTTTGATAACTTGGTTAGATTGTCAATCTATTAGGGTTTACGTGCCAACATTGAACAGCCCAATCTATCAGATTGTAAACAAATGTACCAACATTGAACAGCCCAAACTATCAATACCAACATTGAACAGCCCAAACTATCAGTACCAACATTGAACAGTCTAAACTATCAGTACCAACATTGAACAGTCTAAACTATCAGTACCAACATTGAACAGCCTAAACTATCAGTACCAACATTGAACAGCCCAAACTATCAGTACCAACACTGAACAGCCCAAACAATCAGTACCAACGTTGAACAACCCAATCTATCAGATTGTATGACCAAGAAAGTAGCCTGACCTGATCTTGTAAATGCTGGTCAACACAACCTCCACTGCTGACAGCCTCAGCAAGTTCTCTAACAGCAGCGGCACCTGTCTCCTCTGCTGGTGATCCTGAAACAACAACAATAACAGGATTCAATGTTTGGTGGAAAACATATAATACATCATTGGAAACAATAACAGAATTCAATATTTGGTGGAAACATATAATACATCATTGGAAACAATAACAGGATTCAATGTTTGGTGGAAACATATAATACATCATTGGAAACAATAACAGGATTCAATGTTTGGTGGAAACATATAATACATCATTGGAAACAATAACAGGATTCAATGTTTGGTGGAAAAAGATACATGAGTAAGTTGATTTTCTAGACAGTTAATAAACTTGAAAAACAGTCATTTAAAGATATTTTTAACCTACATATTTTAACCTAACTATTTCTACCAGATCATTTTTCACTAAAATGATCTGGTAAAATCAAAGAAACAATTGAAACTTCATCTCACTTGGCTTTCCTAATGCTGAGCCACCCAACAAACAACCAGTACTTGTCTCAGCCACAACACTGTAATAGATCAAATAAAGTCATGAATACAAGGTTAGTCTTAAAAGGCTTTGATAGAAAAATAAGAGAAAAGTAATCTCATGCAGATAACAGTGTAGTTTACTAATAAATGAATGTTGCTCTTTTAAAAAAAACAACAACATGTATTTAATGTAGGGTATGAGAAAACCCATAAGCTTTTATTTTTTTTTCTTTATTTGCATAGCTACTTAGATGCCACCTAATTGTTAACTTAATTAGTTATATTGAATCTTTTATTACATACATGCTATCTAATGGTTAAATTAATTAGTTACATTGAATCTTTATTACATAGAAGTCACCTAATTGTTAACTCAATTAGTTATATTGAATCTTTTATTACATACATGCCATCTAATGGTTAAATTAGTTAGTTACATTGAATCTTTATTACATAGAAGTCACCTAATTGTTAACTCAATTAGTTATATTGAATCTTTTATTACATACATGCCATCTAATGGTTAAATTAGTTAGTTACATTGAATCTTTATTACATAAAAGTCACGTAATTGTTAACTTAATTTTTTATATTGAATCTTTTATCACATACATGCCACCTAATGGTTAAATTAATTAGTTACATTGAATTTTGTTTATTTATGTCTTACATCGCACCAAGTCCTGAACCGACTGCTGCTCCTTCAGGTTCCTTCAAACTGTCCTGCTTCAACTCAACTTTGGGGAAATTCTGCCTGACAGATTTACTGATACTCTGAGACACTTTGTTAGCCAGCTGGAGATGAAACCGTCATGTTAATATAATTGTTTATCCTATGCTATTCAGAAAACTGCTGACAATCACGTTCATTGTTGTATTTGTATGTGTGTGTTATAATGCAATTGTGTGTGTTATAATGCAATTGTGTGTGTTATAATGCAATTGTGTGTGTTATAATGCAATGGTGTGTGTTATAATGCAATAAATGAAGAAGTAAAAAAACTTACACAAACCCTCTGCAGTGTAATTTTGTTAACTTCTTCATTTATTGCATTATAATTAATTTTACTATTTATTTTATCATCAGTTATTATATAGTCCTTTCCTTTCTTGATTGTAGTATTTTTTATTATTTTTCAGAGTCAAGTATTCTGCACATTCAGTTAATGACCCTTCACTTTGGAAATAGAGGACAGTGTATGAAATTTTTACCATTATGTTTAAAGAATAACAGGGAGTTTTTAAATTTCAGAATTTGACTTAATAATAATAATATCGTTACAACACAGCAAATGAATGACCTGGCAATTAAATTTTCTATTGTATTGGTAATCTATGTGCTGACTTGTCTCATTGACCCAGTTCATTTTCACAGACCAACTGATGTTATCACAGACCCACAGAAGTTATCGGAGCCCGATTTATATAATCACATACCAAGTGAAGTTATCACAACCAAGCAATATTATTACTCACATGTTCTGGAAGGTTCCCAGCCACAAATGATCTGCTATAAATCTTGACCAGATCTCCTCGCTGTGAAAGTGCATCACTGACACCAACAAGGCATTTGGTGGGATGAGATGTGACCACCACTTCACCCCCACCTTTAGGGTAATAACCCCTGCAAGAAAACAAGAGGAATATGTGTTGACTTATTTATTTTCAGTCAAATGATTCTGACTTACCCTACATACTTTCAGTCAACTGATTCTGAAATTAATGTTAACAAATATATGTGTAAACGTGATCAAAAGATTTTACAAAAGAGGTAAGAAGTTAACAATTTTGTTATAAAATGTATAACTTTTACAAATAAGCACAACACCACAAGTTTTAATGATCACTGTCTATTGCTTTGTTGTGTCTACAACTTTTAATTTTCTTGTAGTAGATTTACAATGGCTGCAACCAACTAAAAATATTGTTGTTGTTCTTTAAGTTGGTAACAAATAATATTTTATGTCAAAGTTAGGATTTTGTGACATGCAGCAAGGCACAAAACAAGTCTGCCTGGCAGCCTGGTCTCAAAATTAAAATCCTAGCAATATCACAATGTCTAAATCTCAAAATTAAAATCCTACCAATATCACAATGTCTACAACAGGTGCCCTCCCTCCTGCATACATACTTCCCCTGTGGAATAATTAACTTTATACAAAGCCTTGCTGTTATCAATATAGTATACTTAAGTTCAACTACCGGGTTGTTATGGGTTCAAGGGAGTAGCTGTCCACAAGCTGGTATTTACCACAAAATAAACTGAATCTCAGGAAAAAATCCAGAATGAGAACAAAAAATTAATTAACAAATTAGCATTTAAAAATGTATTTATTTTTTTTTCATTCTATGAAAAGTGGTGAACCAAACTAATGAAGTGAGATTTTTTTATTAAGGAATGTAACTTAAGTATTAAATAAACAAGTGTTGACATTTTGGAGCTCACTGTTTAAACTTGTTCAATTTGTGTGCACTTATTTTCAAACTGGTATGTTTAGAATGAGTAAACAACATGAATTTAACATGATTGCCATATGTAAGAAGTGTGTGACTGAGTGAAGTGTACAATATGGGATTGCCATATATAATAAGAGGTGTGTGACAGAGTGAAGCGTGGGTTATCTGAATTTAAAACCGTGAGCTTACCTTCTCTTGATGTCCACTTCAAAATGCATTTCAAATTTCTCAGCAATTGGTTTGAATATCTGAAAATAAATTTGACTGGTTAAATATGAAATACTGGTAGAAATTCTCTATAACAACAGCTTTTAAAAAAGTCAAGATATATCTTAATTTCTAGCAAAAATGTTGTTGAAAAGGGGTGATGGAAAGGGGAGGGGTGGGGCTATTCAACCTGTGAACATGATATACTGTCACATTTAACCCATTCATTGTTTATATTATATGTATGAGAAATGCTAGATTGTCCAAAAAATTTGCTGAAAATAATGAATGTAATGAAATGGATGAATGTACTAAAAAAAATTAATGAAATGAATGAATGTAACAAAATAATTACCATTGTAGTGTAGTCAATCTGAGGAGCCATATCGCAGTTTGTTCCGCCTTTTAGTTGCAATGAGCTGTCAGCAGGGGAGAACAGCAGGCAGGGGAGAGCAGCCTGCATCAACAAGCATATGCTCCTGATGTGACAAAAGAGATTTACAAAAATTCAACAATAAAACTTTACTTATAATTGGAAGCAGAAATTTAAGCTAAGTAATTTAAGCTAAGTAACATACATTTAAATAATGTATTTGATATTGAACAACCATTCACAGGAAGAAATAAACATAGTTCATAAATAAATAATTGTGCCTGGCTGCATGAACAAACCCTGCTGTCTTGGTGTCTGCGACAAAGTGACCAGCTCTGATAGGACCAGGATCCATTGTGATCTCACATGAACCTACAGCACATTTCTCAAGCTTGCCACTGCAAAGTGATGCTATCAAGTTCAGTCCGGTCATATGCTGAGGTCTGAGAAAGAGAAGCAACAAAAAAGGTTGGTCTAAAAACTGAGAAACAAATTTGCAGTACCCTATATACTCACCAACATGCTGCACTTTTATATGAATCGGGGGCGCAACCTTTCCACTCAACATCAATTTCACTTACTGTTAAACAGTGTGGAGTAGTTAGCCATTTATACAAAAAGTCAGAGAATCATTTTCTCCTTTGCTCTCACTTCCGCTTGTGAAGAGGGAAATCCAATATTTTTTTAAAATATATTTATTAAAGATCACATAATTTATGACGATTGCCTTTCAGATCTCAAGTTTTTATGAAAACATTTTTGTAATGTCTGTTTAACAAATGTTAGCAATATTTACATTAAAAAGGGCCCATGTAACTCCCCAAACTAAGGATGTGACCTATTCGTAGGTCAAACGCAAACACTCAATTTGACAACTGCAAATTACAGATGCCACCTATCCACCTATCCTTTATGAAAGTATACACAGTTATCTATTATATTTGCATTTTTATTTATAAATTTTACTTAACTGACATAAAAAACAGAAATCTGATAATTACAAGAATCGATTTGTGAACTCAGACAAGTTCGTAATACATTTTTTAAAATGAACAAGTTTGTTAGAATTAACATTTAACATCTTGATTATAGGAACAAAGTCACTCGACGAAATTATCTTTAAAAAATGTTGGTATAACAAATAAAGATGCATATAAAAGAACTAGCGCAATGCTTATTACCTTAAACCTGGTTTGTCTCTGCCAGCACGGATATTTGTCACTCTTATGGGTATACCCAGGATGCATGACAGAGCAGCAGCATTACGTAAAATCTGACCACCCTGTACAGATATCAGTTTATTTAAAGTGAAATAATACTTTGCTCGTAAAATAAAACATTTAAATATGCTATGAGGTGAATTTTTGTCACTAAATACGAATACAAAGTCCAATATCATTTCAATTAAGAACCCTTTACAGCTGAAGCTGCTACAATCATTTACTGTAACATTAGTGAAAAAAAAACTTTAGATATTATGAAACATTTTGTAAGACACTAAGAATATTTTGTTAGACACTAAGAATATTTTGTTAGACACTAAGAATAAACAAAGATATTTAATTTTAAGTGAATAAAACCATAAGATTATAAATAGAAAGCATAAGTATGTGGTTACCCCTTCCAAAACACTTCCATCTATGATCTGGCGTCCATCAATGTCAAATTCTTGCTTGGGTCGTTCTTTTGGAATGGCTGCCATTTGGGCTTTAAAAGCTAGTACAGATTTCAATGATCTGAAGATATCAAAATTCTGTTATCTCATTGTTCAATTAATGATAGTAATAATGGTAATAATTGTAATGATGGTAATAATAGTAATGATGGTAATAATAGTAATGATGGTAATAATGGATTCCTCTCTAATTCTCCTCTTTGCCCTCTAGCATTGAAACTAAACTTAGGTTGTATTTGGAAAAAGTAAGGTGTTCGCATTTTGATTACCCACCCCTTTATTTATGAACTTTTTGTATGCTTATACAATAATTCTACCTGGAATTAATGAAAGGTCACACACTTATATTTTTATAATTATACTAATACTACTCAATAATAAATAGCCTATGCCATATTTTAATATATACCTAGTATTTAAATATTTACATATTATTACCATCATTAATTAGGAGACAAGAGTGACTGCAACAACTATCGTGGAATCTTCCTCCTCAGCATTGTTGGAATGGCTTTCGCCCGAGTTGCATTAACACGCCTACAGACCCTAGCATCGCGTGTACTCCCAAAATCGCAATGTGGTTTTCGCGCCGGTAGGTCAACCATAGTCATGATCTTCTCTCTGCGCCAGCTGCAGGAGAAATGCAGGAGAAACATATGCCTTTATACATTGTGTTTGTCGACCTCACTAAGGCTTTTGATCTTGTCAGCAGAAGCGGCCTGTTTCAAATCCTCAAAAAGATAGGCTGCCCTACACGACTGCTTAACATCATCAAGCAGTTCCACGAAAACATGCAGGGCACAGTGTGCTATAACAGTGCCGCCCCAGAAGCTTTTCCAGTGGGTAGTGGAGTAAACCAAGGTTGCATGCTGGCTCCTACTTTATTTGCAACCTTTTTCTCCATCCTATTCCAGTATGCCTTTAAAAACAACAGCGAGGGGATATACATCCACACTAGAGCTGACAGCAAATTATTCAACATTGCCCGCCTTAGAGCTAAGACTAAAACAAGAAAGGTCTTGCTGCAGGAGTTCTTGTTTGCGGACAATGCCGCCTTGTTATCTCACACAGCAGACGGCTAGCAGAGCCTCGTATCCAGCCTATCCGCTGCCTGCAAAGAGTTTGGCCTGACAATTAGCCTAAAGAAAACTAACATTATGGCACAGGACGCTGACTCCCACCCCACTATCGCCATCGCCGACTATGACTTGGATACTGTTGACAGTTTCACATATCTGGGATCCAACATATCAAGCACCCTCTCAATGGAGGATGAGATAAGTGGAAGGATAGGGAAGGCCGCAACTGTTATGGCCAGACTGAAGAAAAGAGTCTGGTCAAACGCCAAACTCACAACAAGATCTAAGCTGCAGATGTACCAGGCCTGCGTACTGAGCACACTCCTGTATGGAAAAGAGTCGTGGGCCACATACTCTAACCACCAAAGAAGGCTCAATGGCTTCCACCTCAGATGCCTGCGCCACATCCTTGACATTAAATGGCAAGACAAAGTCCCCAACATGGATGTCCTGTCCCAAACAAACATGTGTAGCGTCCCAGCCATGTTAATCCAAAGACGCCTCCGCTGGCTTGGACACGTCAAGCGAATGCAACCTGGTCGCATACCAAAAGACGTGCTATACAGCGAGCTGGCGACAAGGAAAAGGTCAGTTGGACGGCCTCGTCTGAGATACTTAGACATATGGGCTATTTCAGATTGAGCGGCCCATGTTGACTTTGTTTTGGATTCACTCCCCATATTTTTTTCTTATTTTTTGTTAAAAGAGTTACATTTTCGGAATTAAAATTTTATTGGTTGATTAATTATAATTTCAAAATTTTCATTGGTTGGCTCATTATCATATTTCTTTTGTTCCGCCATATTTGATATCTTTGGGATGCCTGAGGGGTGTGGAGATTTATTCATTTTGTGGCTATGTTTTCTTTGGAACCTGAAATAAAGTGTGTAAAAGTGTATTTCATGAAACTGTAAGTTGGATTTTCATTATTTCTTTAGTTTATAATTATTTGGGGCCCTTTTTTATTGTTTTTTGTTAATTTTCATAGTTTTCTTGCCAAAGTGTGAAATTGCACGTGTTTTCACTTGTGGCTGTGGATTTACGGCTAGTTTTTAGGGTTCAGGTTAGGCTTAGGGATCGATTTAGGGTTAGGCATAGGGATCAATTTAGGGTTAGGGTTAGGCATAGGGATAGATTTAGGGTTAGGGATAGATTTAGGGTTAGGGTTAGGCATAGGGATAGATTTAGGGTTAGGGTTAGGCATAAGGATAGATTTAAGACAATTTTTTCATACATTTTTAACGTTTTCTTCCTAATTTTAGCAAACGTGAAATATTTTATTTTTCCATGGCTGCCATCTTGGTTGCCTCGACCCGTGAACACATAAAAGTGCGCGGGTCGAGGCAACCAAGATGGCGGCCATGGAAATAGACACGGGCCGCTCTCTCTGAATTTACCGACATATGCAAAAGAGACATGAAGTCGGCCAACATCGACATCTCAACCTGGGAGGAGCTGGCAGAGGATCGAGCCTCATGGCGGGGCATGATGAAGGCAGGATCACTACATGCCGAGGAGCAAAACAGGGCGGAAACAGCTGCAAAAAGAGCGAGGAGAAAGGCCGGTAAATACTGCTCCACCGCATTCGTGTGTGGGAAATGTAACAGAGACTGCCATTCGAGGATTGGTCTCACCAGCCACACCAAGAGCTGCAAGCAATAAAGATAATCAATCGTCTCCGGCAGACGGAAAGATGCCATGGCCATACAAACATACTAGTATACTAGAATACTTAGCTATACAATAGAAATACATAAAATAAGACGGTTTTATTGAATGGATAATACATTACTGTATCGGAAACTCTACTACTAGTTCAGTTATTTGTAGTAATTATTAATTTAATTTACACTCACGACTCACGGGAGTTCTTTTACCTGTGTTGACTTGATAGTCACTCTTTGGGAAACAGAAAACAATAAAAAAAAAAATACTAGATAAATAGAACGCCCAGTTACCGATATATTAAGCTCCACAATAAAAACAACCAGATATTAATTATGAACGTATTTAATTAAAGTAATATTGATCAATCAAATGCTGTAAATGGGCCTTCAATTATAAATTAGTTTTAAATTCTCTTTGGTTATAAATTTATGTTATTTTAAAGATTTAAAAGTTAAGTTTCAGAAAAATCACATTAAGTGCACAAATTCATGTCCAATGTTATTCTTCCCGTGAACATGTTTTTTATGGTAAATAGTAAAGCCTTTCTTGTTGACATTATTTCATTAATTTACGTTGCCATTCTCAAATTAAAAGGAGTTGATATGTTTCTGATTTAGAAAACAAAATATATTACTGCACCTCCTGCAACATTTATTATGTCGAATTGCTGTCACGGACATAGTCACGGAGGAGGATCAGGAGGACATGAACATAGTCATGGGCCTTCAGATGCAAGTGATGCTGAAAATTTTAGAGGACAGGAATTCAATTTGTATTTGAAAATAGAAATGGACAGTCTAACGTGTTTAAATGAATCAGAAGAAGGCTCTGGGAAGAATGTTTTTCGGGCTTATGAAGATAGACTTGATAGGTCAAAGGTAACTCCATATTCTTCTTCTTCCCCTATGCCTAAAGTTCCCTAAGCCTAAACCTGTGTAGTGTAGGTAAAGGTAGTGAGACACTGTACTCAGTATAATAAAGTATAACTTATACTAGTTTAGACCAAAGAAACAGTTCTGTTAATGTTAAGTAGACCTAATTTAAAAAGTTTTTAAAAAATATTTTAGTGACTATTATTAGTAAAAAGGCCTACCTAAAGGTTTATGGCATCATGGATGATTAATAAATGCAAAGTTGCCCCCCACCCTTCACGTTTTCTGCCTGATATCAATTCCTTACAAATTTTAAAAATTGCAGATACACAATTTATAATATCCTTAACCTTACTACCTTTACTTTCCATTTAAGTTGTTAATACCAATAAAAACTGTATCAAAGTGTAAGCCATACTGCCCATACATATCGTAAGTAAGTCTTGTACCATGTTTATAAAAAAATAACTTGAAATAGGCACAAACAAGGCACAAATGATCATGATTCAAAGAGAAACCAGAAAGATGAGACAAATATACAATGAAGCCAGAAGGAAAGCCATGAAAATGTGTAGGAGCAAAAAAAGGGGGGATGGGAAAAAGCTAAACTAGCTAAACTAAAAGAAATTGAATCAAGAGAGGAAATATCAGAGGAGTGTACATGTAAATAAAAAGAATTAATACTAAACCAGAGCTCTAATGTGTGAGAGCAATGATGGAGAATTAAATATGGAAAAAAGTAAAGTACTGGAGAGGTGGGCTGAACATTTTTAGGGCATACTAAATGCAGACAATGGAGAAGATAAAGATTATCAACAACCACATGGGGGACCAGACACTTTTATAAACTCCCCAATGTTGGAAGAAACTACAGAAGTAATTCTAATTCTATGAAAAACCACAAAGCCCCTGGAGAGGACCTCATTACAGCAGAACTTATATAACCCTGAACAAATATTAGGTGATGACCAAACAGTATTAAACAGAAACTCGTCCCTCTCCCCCATAGACAGCGACGAGGCCATGACAGGCAATTCAGGCTCATACCAGCAAGAAGCCAGTATAGGAACTGCTCATTCCTGCCCAAGACAATCAGGGACTGGAACCATCTTTCAAAAGGAACAGTTGAGGCGACAACACTAGACACATTTGTGTCTATTGCCTCAAGCCTTCAAACCCCTAGTGCATAATTTCCTCATCACCACCAGTAACAGAAACATTGCAAATCCCATCTACATGCATAGGAGCCAAAATGATCAATAAATTGATCGTGGGCCCTTAAGATATAGAAGAAGAAGAAATATGGAGGAAGAGAACTACACTCTCAAACACAGAAAGTCATAAGTAAAATTTGGCAAGGAGAGAAAATTCTAACAGAATGGGAAACAGCACTATTAACCTAAATATACAAGAAAGGTTCCAAAATTCAATGTAAAAGCTACATAGGAATTTACCTATGAAATATAACACAAAATATTGACAAAACTAATTGCCAAGAGACTACAACCGTACCCTGAACAAATATTAGGTGATGACCAAAGTGGATTCAAACAAAACAAATCAATGACTGTTCAGATTTTCACCATCATATGCATATTAGAGAAATTTTACGAATATAATATCCCAGTACACCAACTCTATGTGGAAGATAAAATGGCCTATGACAGCATCAAAAGAAAATATCTATGTAAGATTCTGCAGTAGTTTGGCATACCCAACAAGCTGACCAGACTGATATATGTAACATTAAACTACTCAAAAAGCAAATCAAGGTTCAGGGAGAATGTTCAAGGGAATTTCAGATTAGACAAGGAGACTTACTGTAATATATGCTATTTAACCTAACATTAGTGAGAGTTATAAGAAACATATGAAGAGTAGAAAGGAAGTGATTTTAACATAATTGTAAAAACCACTTCACATCCTTTCTACTCTTTACTTTGTTTTTGTCTGGTTTTAGCGCCCTCTCCTATATTTTTTCTGTTTTAGGTAGGATAAGTATATTGATATCAAGTAAATTTAATTTATACTTACTTAAATGTGTTTTGGTTGTTTGTACTGATGAAGGCATGTGCCGAAACGTTTAATTGTGTATAATGTATAATTATTATTAAAGCGTAACGTATATATTCTATTGACACAATTTGTTCGTGTCTTATTAATCTCTTTTGAAATAGTAACTCAATTCAAATACCTAGGAGATTTATTAAATGAAAGAAATGAATTACTAACAGTACAAGAAATAAAAGAAAGAATATTGGCTGGAAACTTGGCATACTTAAGTTGTCAGAAAAAACTCTAAATTAAAAACATTACAAGAAAAAGAAGGAAATCTGTATATAAAACGGTAATCAGACATACGCAAGTGAAACATGGATCCTAAAAAAAACTTCAGAAAATCTCTTAAACAAATGGGAGAGAAAATTTATCCAATAAATATATGGATTAAGAAAGGATGAATGTGGTTCGAGAATAAGAAGCAATCATGAATTGTATAGTCTATATCAGGATCCCTTACTAGTTGCAGAAATAAAAATGGGCAGGTTACGCTGGGCGTGACACTTAGAAAGAATGCTAAGTGACAGAGTAATGAAGAGGTAATACCACCAAAACCCCAGAGGAAAATGGCTCAAGGGCAGACCAGGGCATAGATGGATGGATGATGTGGAAACAGATCTACAGCAGCTTGGAATCCAAGCATGAAAAAGAAAAGCATCAGTTAGGTCTGAGTGGAAGGAAATGGTGAGGCAGACCAAAGCGCTACATGGGCTGTAGCACCAAAGGGGTGGATGGAAGGAAACATGGTAAAAAAGTGTAGGGCCATTCTGTATATAAGTCTTGTACCATATATATAAAATAATAATTTGAAATACGCATTTACGAAAAGTTCAAAATTTTCAAATCTAAGTACTCATTAGTACATTCCTTACCCAAAATTATTAGAACAACAAATTTAACTTTGAATCTGTTCAATGTTAAATTGTTTTGACAATAATTTTTCATCTTTGTTAACTACAGTTTTTCAAATCTTTTCATGTACCTTTGTTTTCAGTTTGTATCCAGTGATGTTGATGAGGAGCTTCTATTTAATATTCCGTATGTACAGTTTCTTTTTGTTACCAGCGTTTTGATTTTCCATGAACTATTGTTTAAGACTCAAAAGCATAGCAATAGCTTGAATGTCAAACACGAATAAATAGTGTCAACGAATAGCTGCCAAAATCTATTTTATAGTTCAACATCGGAAAGCAGCCAAATTTTAAAATTTCTGCAATAGTACATGCTTTAAGTTCTTATTGATTATTATTCTGGCCTATGATGAAGTATTGATTTTTACGTAGAATCATAATTTTGTAAATTAAGTTTCTTTTTTTTACCTCTTCAATTATGAACCTGTTGATGAATTACATTCATTTTATAAACTTATTATTAAACCCAGGCATAAAAATTTTTTTAAATTGTATAATTTATTTGCAGATTTCAAGGGACAGTGAAGCTAAAAGGATTGCTTATCATTGGAGGAGAAAGAGAAACACATCCAAACAAAATGCGACTGTTTAAAAATAGGCCGAACATGTCATTTGATGATTCTCGTGCAAAGGCTGATCAGGAAATAGATGTTCATGTTGATCAGGATGGATTTATTGAGTATAAACCAATGTGGGTAACCTGTAGGATTTCTTTCAATGTATACATTTTTAAAAATTTTCATTTCAAAGTCATAAAAGAGACAATGGTTTCATAAATATTGGTCTCTTCATTAAATAAAAATGAGTTTTTAGGTATATATTTTTATATATACCGGTATATATATATATATATCATCTTTCCGTCTTCGCGAGTAGAAATGTAAACTTCATCATATGGCTTACTAAGCTAGTCCTGGAATTTCAGTCTGGATTGCATTTCTCACAGGAGAACCTTGACGTCTGTTTAGATGCGGCCTTCTGTATTGCTCTTTTTGTTGCAAGGGCTTCCTTTCAGAGATCTTATGCCTTTTTGACTCCTTCATACACTGCCGTTTGCCAGCTGGAATGGTGCGTGGTGATGATCTCCCATTCATTGATTTCTATGTTTGCTTGCCTCATGCTCCTTTTGCAAACATCCATAAATGGCAGCTGTGGCCATCCAAAAATTCTTGCCACTTCTGCCACTTCTCCATACAGCAGATTCTCTGGAATAAGGTCTTCCTCCATTCTCGTTACATAGCCTAACCAGTGAAGGTACCAGAATATTTAAAGCAAAGAAAAATTTAAGACTAGTTAAATTGTAAATTTTATACGTAGTTGTGTGGAGTGGTTGTTGGCTGACAGTTTCCATTCCCATTCTTAACAGAGTAGCAAGATTCAGTGATGTTCATCACCTGTCCATTCATTTCCCAAGTAACCATGGCAACGCAGACAACACAGAAGTTTTTTACATTGGACTGAAGGGAGATTATATGGAGGTAAAGTAACACATGATACCCGACGACCATTCCTGATAGATTTAATTGGATAAATATCAACCGGAAGTTTGGGGCCATCCATAAATGGGGGTGGGGGCAGGTATTTATGACCATGTGAAGTGAGTGGTGTTTATATTTTGTGACAAGATTGTGAAATTTGGATATAACATCAGCAAAAATAGTGTGACATCATATGCGGATGGCCCTTTTGACTTTTTTAAAGAATTTCAATCTGATTTTATCTTTACTTAAATTCTAAAAGCCATCACTTATTCACTTGTTTTGTTAAAATAGCAAACCTGAAATACATTTATTGATATTTTGGTTAAATTATTTAACATCCTTATGGTTAACATTGCTTATTTTATAGATATCTTTTGGTTCATTCTTTTGAAATGCTTTATCCTAAGGCTAATAAGTAGTGCATCCTTTCATTTTTAACTAGAATATGCTAATCACACTTTTATTTTGATGGTAATTACTGTGTACCTGGTATCATAGAATTGAATAGTTACATTTTTATTTATTATTGTTTAACTCTCAATTTGGTAATGGTGTATTTTAGCGTCGGTAATTAGCAACATTTAAAAATTATTAAAAAATAATTAACACCATACAAAACCAGCTTAAGGTTTATTAAGTGACACAATAGTGAAAACGTATGTTCAATTATCCATAATTGTTAGCCAAAGTGATGATGAACTGTGAAAATAAGTCTACATCGCCAAAGTAACAACGATAAGCAAACTCTTGCAAATAGGATGGAAAAAGAGCATGACTAGTCCCGAATAGTCTCTTCAGTTTGTGCTTAGCCCGCATCCACATATTCTCAATGTTCTGTTTCTGGATTTCTGGATCGTTCAGGTCAACGAAGTTGTGTTGATGGACAACAACTGAATGTTTATATTTTCCACCTCCTATCCTTTCCACTTGCCCATAGGCTGCCCAACCATCAGATATGATTTGAGAACCTGGAAAAACATGCTGCTGTGTGCAAGCCTACAAAGTTTCTGAATTTCTGTTCAGGACTTCAACTAGATACCGTAACATGAATATTTATTTAATTGAAAAATTTTAAATACCATAGAAATTTTTTTTTTATTCCTGACGCTAAAATTCAACATTACCCTCAATTTTAGTCATAATTGCTTAACATTATTTATACTTAAATGGCTCTAACTTTTTCTGTGTTTCAGGCATACAGGCATGAAGTCACCATCGCAGCATATGAGGCTAGGGCCAACCCAGCTGATCATAAGACCAGTTCACTCAACCAAGTCAACCACTTTGTGTCATAGCAACAAGTTCAAATCAACCAAGACAACCACTTTGTATTCTACTAACTGAGAAACACTTGATTTTGATTGTTTGAAAAGGAGAAAGTAATTTTAAGTTGAAGGAGACAAATTGAACATTGCAGTACACTGATTGAACTTTTAAAGCTTAGTAAATTTAATATGAAAAGAACTAAAATATATTTTTAGAACGAAAAGGCATGGTAAAATATACATTTCTTTCTGATAAAAATAAACCTTTTTTTTTTAAATGTTCTCCAAAGTTAAGCATAACTTTAGGTGTAATATATAATCAATTTTTTAAAAATTATCTCCCCTATGTCATTAGACAAATTGGATCATATTTATTTTTAAGACCAAATCAGATTGCATTTTTTAACATTTTTATTGCTTTTTGAATTAGAATCTATCATAATTATATTTTCAAGCAAAAGATAATTTATCATACTTTATTATTTTATTTCTTCAATTAAATTTTTTGCTTTGTCTACATTTGATTACATTTTAAAAAATTTGAAATTATAATTTTTATGGATAGAAAATCTAATTAAATCTGCTTTGTTAAGTTTTACTTTTTCTCAAAGAATTTTTGCCAGTCTTGTTTAAATGTATAACTATTTACACCTTTAGTCATACTGTTCACAGCTGCAATATTCGGTCATCACGTTTGCTGTTACCCTCTGAGATTTGTCTCTCACATTTAATTTACCGTATTGTTGGATTAAAATATCTTGAAACCAAAGCTCAGTCTTTCTATTATGCATGAAGTGCAAACATTTTACTTCCTTAAAATTTATATTAATATATCTATAATATATGTTTCACTACAAATAATTACTTACGTAATTATACAAATATATCTCTTAGATATATTGCCCTACTAATTAAACTTCCTTATGTCTTGAGGAAAATGTAATATGTTTGGTGCAATCTGGTAGCAACCCCTTTAATAATTAGGTTGTTATGAACTTAGATCTGGCTGTCATTAAATTATACTTCAATTAGTCTTGGGTCAGCAAATTAAATGATACTTTGATTTGGCATAAGTCATCAAATCAAATGATACTTGTATTTGTCATAGCTCAGCATATCAAATAGTATCCAGAAATTGGTTTGAAAGAAATTTAGTCTATGGAAAATTGATTGAATCTTTTTTTCAGTTCACACGTTAAAATTTTGTGTCAAATTTCTTTTCATGGGATGGTTGCTAGCATTCATGGGTGGATCGCTAGAATGCATAGGTTAGTCTCTAGCATTCATAGGTTAGTCTCTAGCATTCATAGGTTGGTTGCTAGCATTCATAGGTTGGTTGCTAGCATTCATGGATTGATCACTAGCATGCATAGGTTAGTCTCCAGCACTCAGGTTGGTCTCTAGCACTCATGGGTTGGTCTCTAGCACTCATGGGTTGGTCTCTAGCATTCATGGGTTGATCTCCAGCACTCAAAGGTTGGTCTCTAGGACTCATGGGTTGGTCTCTAGCACTCATGGGTTGGTCTCTAGCATTCATGGGTTGGTCTCTAGCACTCATTGGTTGGTCTCTAGCACTCAAAGGTTGGTCTCTAGCACTCATGGGTTGGTCTCTAGCACTCATGGGTTGGTCTCTAGCACTCATTGGTTGGTCTCTAGCACTCATGGGTTGGTCTCTAGCACTCATGGGTTGGTATCTAGCACTCATGGGTTGGTCTCTAGCACTCATGGGTTGGTGTAAGCCCCTATAATTGTATCGCTTCATCTTTTGATGCTATGAGGTCACTGTAAAATGAGTTTATAAGAAGGTAACCAAACATTTGACAATTCTCAACTTTCAGTTTCTCTAATTAGGTTTATTGATAAATGGATTATTCCAAACAAGGAGATTGCCAGTGTTCTCTACAGATGCTCTCAAATAGACCTTTATGGGCCCTGACCTGTGTGTGTCCTCACATGTGTATGTGTCCTGACCTGTGTGTGTGTGTCCTGACCTGTGTGTAGTCATTGCCTTTTGTGTGTCCTGACCTCTGTGTGTGTGTCCTGGCAAGTGTGTGTCCTGAAAATTTGTTTGTGTCCTGGCCTGTGTGTGTGTGTCCTGACCTGTTTGTGTGTGTGTCCTGACCTGTGTGTGCCTTGAAATGTGAGTGTCCCTACATGTGTGTGTGTCCTGTCCTGTGTGTGCGCCCTGACCTGTGTGTGTGTCCTGACCTGTGTGTGTGTGTCCTGACCTGTGTGTGTGTGTGTTTTGATGTATGTGTGTTTGTCCTGACGTGTGTGTACTGGTCCTTGACTTAAAATCTTTATCAAATGACAGGTCGTCACGATGCTGAACGATATCAAATAGCAATAGTATTAAGCAGATTTATAAATTGGTTTCTACTTTGCGTTTGTTAAAATGAGAATAAATAAAATAGTCAATTTGGGAGATGAAGCTCTGAAGCATTTAGTCCCAATCCAGTTAAAATTAATCAGCAGCTGTTAAAGGCAATTAATCGTTCTTGTAATGTCACTGATCATCTCATGACGTCCATCTCATCTCTCGACGTCCTGCTCATCTCATGACGTCCCGCTCATCTCATGACGTCCCACTTATCTCATCCCATGACGTCCCGCTCATCTCACAACGCCCCACTTATCTCATCTCATGACGTCCCACTTATTTCATGACGTCCCACTTATCTCATTTCATGATGTCCCGCTCATCCCATGACGTCCCGCTCATCTCACAACGCCCCACTTATCTCATCCCATGACATCCCACTTATCTCATCTCATGACGTCCCGCTCATCCGCTGACCTATCCATTTGATAGCTAAATACCACAGAAATATCGCGATCAAATGTTACCAGTTCAAATATGTTAACTTATCAAATGTTACTGGTTCATATATGTGTTAACATATCAAAATCGATAGTCACATTTGCCGCAGTTCAATAAAAGAAATTACCCCTCCTCTGTAGCAAGGCGGGATCGCCTCCCCCTGTCGTGTATGTCGAGACAGCAAAATGTTTCCAGACGAAATCAATACTTGTTTTTTTTTTTGTTTTTTTTTTTCCTTAAAAGGTTTTTTTTTCCTTAAAAGGAAGACGAAGCAATGCTCGCCAGCCAGGTACTAGGCATCCAAACGAGAGCCCTCAATGATATCAATACTTGTTTTTTTTTTTGTTTTTTTTTTTTTTCCTTAAAAGGTTTTTTTTTCCTTAAAAGGAAGACGAAGCAATGCTCGCCAGACAGGTACTAGGCATCCAAACGAGAGCCATCAATGAGCTCCCCTGTTTCATGATTGTCTCTCGACTTCTATCCAACAATCTACGCAACATCGTCATCATTCGTGATTCACGCGTGCATGGAGATTCAGCCATAAGATTCGGCCATAAGATTTAGCCATAAGATTTAGCCATAAGATTCGGCCATAAGATTTAGCCATAAGATTTAACCATATTTTGGAGTCTGCACCGCTAACCGCACTGTGGCGCCTTAGTTTTATGTACATGTGTTTGGTTTATAAGTGAACTGATTTCAATTTGACGCCCTGTTGATCCGCTACATCCCAAGTTATACAGTCTCATTTATTCCTGGGTACGCTGACGTGTGTAAGACAGCTGTGACAGCCTCCTGCTTTTATTCTCACTGCCTGCTTGCTCTCCTTGTCGGTGCTCACAATGTCTGATGACGATATCGCTGCGTTGGTCATAGACAATGGGTCTGGTATGTGCAAGGCTGGATTCGCCGGTGACGATGCCCCCAGGGCCGTCTTCCCCTCCATCGTTGGACGACCGCGGCACCAGGTACGGTAAACCCCTAATCACCATCTCAGCCTCCTCTATGACCAGCTTAGTCTCCTTCCTCTAAGACCAGCTTAGTCTCCTTCCTCTATGACTACCTCAGTCTCCCCTGTGACCATCTCAGCCTCCTCTATGACCAGCTTAGTCTCCTTCCTCTATGACTACCTCAGTCTCCCCTGTGACCATCTCAGCCTCCTCTATGACCAGCTTAGTCTCCTTCCTCTATGACTACCTCAGACTCCCCTGTGACCATCTCAGCCTCCTCTATGACCAGCTTAGTCTCCTTCCCCTATGACTACCTCAGACTCCCCTGTGACCATCTCAGCCTCCTCTATGACCAGCTTAGTCTCCTTCCCCTATGACTACCTCAGTCTCCCCTGTGACCATCTCAGCCTCCTCTATGACCAGCTTAGTCTCCTTCCCCTATGACTACCTCAGACTCCCCTGTGACCATCTCAGCCTCCTCTATGACCAGCTTAGTCTCCTTCCCCTATGACTACCTCAGACTCCCCTGCGACCATCTCAGCCTCCTCTATGACCAGCTTAGTCTCCTTCCCCTATGACTACCTCAGACTCCCCTGTGACCATCTCAGCCTCCTCTATGACCAGCTTAGTCTCCTTCCTCTATGACTACCTCAGACTCCCCCGTGACCATCTCAGCCTCCTCTATGACCAGCTTAGTCTCCTTCCCCTATGACTACCTCAGTCTCCCCTGTGACCATCTCAGCCTCCTCTATGACCAGCTTAGTCTCCTTCCTCTATGACTACCTCAGACTCCCCTGTGACCATCTCAGCCTCCTCTATGACCAGCTTAGCCTCCTTCCTCTATGACTACCTCAGTCTCCCCTGTGACCATCTCAGCCTCCTCTATGACCAGCTTAGTCTCCCTCCTCTATGACTACCTCAGTCTCCCCTGTGACCATCTCAGCCTCCCCTATAATCACCCCAGTCTCTTCTATGACCATCTGTCTCCTCTATGACCACCTTATTCTCCTTCCCCGATAACCACCTCAGTCTCTCCATGACCATATGTCTCCTCTGGGACTACCACAGTCTCCCCTATGACCATCTCAATCTCATATATGACCACCTCAGTCTCCCCTTTGACCACCTTAGTCACCCCATGACCATATGTCTCCTCTATGACCACCTTAGTCTCCACATGACCATATGTTTCCTCTATGACCACCTCATTCTCCCCTTTGACAACCGTAGTCTCCCCTTGGACAACCTTAGTCTCCCCTTAGACATCTCAGTTTCCGCTATTACCACCTCAGCATTTGCTGGACCATTTTCTCTCTTTTTCTGTTGATCTTACACTGCTTAAAGGTATCCATTTAAGACACACTCTACCAACATTCATCAACTACATAATCCACTACCAGCATACATTGACTTCCAACATTCACTAACTACAACATGCAATCACTGGATTGGATGTCTTGTGAATGGGGTGTAACATTTAGTCTCCTCCCCCCCCACCCCCACACCCCCACCACACCCCCCCCCTTAAAAAAAAAAAACAAACCCTGCTGCTTGGTTATTTTGTAAAATANTTCTCTCTTTTTCTGTTGATCTTACACTGCTTAAAGGTATCCATTTAAGACACACTCTACCAACATTCATCAACTACATAATCCACTACCAGCATACATTGACTTCCAACATTCACTAACTACAACATGCAATCACTGGATTGGATGTCTTGTGAATGGGGTGTAACATTTAGTCTCCTCCACCCCCACCCCCACACCCCCACCACACCCCCCCCCTTAAAAAAAAAAAACAAACCCTGCTGCTTGGTTATTTTGTAAAATAAAACGTTTTGCCGTTGGGTACCGGCATGCACCATTCTGGGGACATTCATGCAAAAACAGATTATTTTTACATTTATTTTTGGCATGGGAAATTCAATATTCCTGGAATTCCATGAATGCCCTGCATGTAAAGGACATGAACCATTTTCAGAGCATATACATTGCTGAACACGCAACATTACATATTACTTCCTCGTGGCGTCACAGTGACGTGTAGATAACAAGTCAGATTGTTACTTACAACCAACGGATGAATGAAAATATTTTCAAAGGGACGTGATTTAAAATAAACTTTCGGATTTATTAGAGCATATTTATAACTTGGGGCATTGTTATGATACAGGGTGTTAAAAAGACCCAGTGAGAAGGGACATTAT